CCCCCTCGGAGACATCGCGTGCGTGCTCTTCGCCCAAACAAATAACGCATAGATCGTGTGTGTCATCAGATGTTAAACAACGACAATACGGATGCACACATCCTCTAAGCGTTCTGCTAGTGCTTGCCATAATAACAGGATAGAGATCGCTCTTACCACGTTCAAATGCACTCTTCAAACAAAAGTCAGTGAAGACGAAGAAGAGAATGACATGTTCTTCCGGCGCTTATTTATACTAATAGTCGCACCGGTAGTGACGTCATGGGCTGTCGCCGGCCAACGTGTTGTTGGTGTTTTTTCAACTGTCTAGCTGTGGCTACTGCACAAACTGGATATGACAAGCTTCTGGAGGACTGGAGTGGATTAGAAGAGTTTGCTGCAATGGAGACACATACTATAGTGAAAAACTAAAGAACAAGTTCAGTATCTCCAGAGACACGTCCAGCAGCACTGTGACAATAACAGGCCAAAACATGCAGACTGAAGACACAGCCATGTATTACTGTGCACGAGAGTCACAGTGACACAAAACAACAAGAGACATCCACAAAAACATCCAGAGAGAGAAAGACAGCTATAGACAGTTACTTGCATAAAAAAAGTATAAACAATACAAGTATCTACAATACAATATATATATATATATACACACACACACACACACACACACACACAATATATGGGATCTGGTGACAGTTGCCAAGGCAAGAAAGTATAACACAGCAATACATTCCTCCTGCCAATAATTATTTACACTGACAAGCAAAGACAAGCACCTTGTTTTAAAATATTGTCGGGATATTTTTTAGCAATATTTGTACTGATTTTGTTTCAACAGGGGGCCCTCATATCAAGTTACTGCAGAGAATGCAAAACATTGCTTACAGAATTACTGCTTTAATGAATATTTCTCATGTAAATTTTCATTTAATGTAGGCCTACATACACAGGCATCGTTATTGGGGAACAGAGGGACAGAATACAGAGCCCAGAGCTATTGGGGGCCCCACAACGATTCCCCAATTTCTAATAGAAATCATTGCAAAAAAA